AGAAGCCGACGTCCGCCGCTAGAAAATATAACATTAAAAGTCAAACTTTGAGACACATATTGAAAGAAAATGGAACATTTAGAGGATCTAAATTTCAACCAGACTGATAACGGTGATAATTACCATGGTACCCGGGATAAGTGAATTTGAATTTTTAACTTATACTATTATTATATGTTTTTAGTAGTAGTATTTATAATTAAGTATCAAACGACAAACAACCGGCCAATAAAGTTTTTATATCTGTTGAATAAGTACTGGGATGTAGAGCTCTAAAAAAATGCCGACTGGGCCCCTTACGTATTGGCCTATTTTTGGTATAGCATGTTTGTTATTATTAGAAAAAAGTAAAAATGGCGTTAAGTTCCTCCGGACCGAACTTTGTATAACTTCCGTCGCATGATGTGCTTTGAAAAGACTTAAATCGGTCGATTCCGTCTAAAGGGACTATGATAAAAAATACAACTACACTGTAATTGTCTAGCCGGTGTATTTTTATTCTTCTTGTATATAGTCGGTTTGGAAATTTCGGCATATATATATATATATATATATATATATATTCGGTGGAAAATGTGATAAAAACTTAAATATATCTCAAAAAAACAAAAAAAAAAAAAAAAGAAAATGCAAATACGTTTACAACCACACAGGGGGAAAATTTGACAAGGAATATACAAATCAGGGTGCGAAGAATGATTAAAATACACTCTTTCTCACGAATGCTCACAGGCGAGAATTCGAATGTTTTTAATTTATAGCGTATGATAACGTTACAATGAATGAACAAGCATTTGCAACCTCTCGCGAATGTTCGCATTGCCTGAAAAATTCCCGAACGATAAAACTTCGCTGCAAGCGTCGTCGATTCATTCATTAGTGAGCGTTCCTTGCTGAAGAACATTCTTTTGAAAAACTCAAAAAACAAATGTTCGCGAATTCTCGCGAGCACTAGTAAACGAGTAAACACACACAACGAATGAAAGTGTGTGTAGCAGAAAGTGTGTGGAATAGTATCGGGCGAACATTCGCATGCTCTCTCGCGAGAGCAAATATCACTATTCTCTCACACACTTTCAACTGAACCAACTGAAAATCCATACACAAAGATAAATACGTGAGAACCAAGTTTTTACGCTCTCCCCGAGCCTGGTTTGGAATAACAAAACACATAACCAACAACTATTGAGTTCACAAACGTTTGTTGGTATTCATGTTGCTGTTCTGAGCATTCGCGAGAATTCGGGAATGTATGTTTTCATTCGTGAGAGAATATCAGAAAGAATTTCAACCACCAAACGAAACGAACTCGTTTGTTATGTGTGTGCGAACATTCTTTGGCGAATGCTCGTTTGGTAAAGAATTTATCGCCATAAAGTCATTCGTAAAATGTGCACAAAAGAAAAAGAATGTATTTTGAATCATTCGCGAGCGAATTTTTGCACACCCTGATAAAAATACTTAAATCGACCCGACATGTGTATTAGGGCTAAAATATGCATTATTGTTCTACTAATATGTTTTACACCCTCTAAAACCTCGGAAAATCAAATTACTGCCACTTCGTTGGGGAAATGCGGATACATCTACATACGAAATTTTCTGCGAAGAAGTTTTTATACGCCACACAACTACATTATAGTTTTGTGCAGCCCCAAGAGTTTGTAATGATGAAATGGGAAAAAAACTTTTATTTAATATATTCTAGAGGTCACAATTATGACCCGAACACCACGAAATTTTACACCAGGAAGGGAGTCTGGTCAATAATAAACATGACTATTTTTTATGAAGATCTGTCAATATTATATAGTTGTGCGTACTCGGATCTGGGAGTTATATTTCAATATTTACAGGGGTCTACTAAATATTCACCTCGGGAGAACAGAATTTTGAAAGCACGCCTTGGTTAGAAAGATGAAAGAAGATGGTGGAAATATCGCGAAATATTGCCCAGGCTTACAATAAAGAACTGCAGAAAGTTAGATTATCGTGGTAGTTGTGGGTAGACTTGGGGAAAAAACAAGGTCAGGATATTAAAATACCTCAAATGTTGCGCATGGGACCATCAAAATAACTTAAATAAAGGTGGAGCTGAATATAGAATCTAATTGACTTTCAATTTAATTTACAATTTTATAAAATGTTGACCACCCCCCCAACATCGGACTTAATCTAGGCTTGGCAAAGATACGAGGTTCTGCGATGTTTGGTTTAAACCGGACATTCCTTTCGCCAAATATTGAATTTATAAATATTAACAAAATTAAAACACTTTGTGGGGCAGACACCAGCTGGATTAGACCAATAGATCACAGAAATATTATAATGTGCAATGGTTCTTCCGTTACTTCCATCGAGAGTTATCGAGCGCACCACCCGGTCAGACAAACAGGCAGGGAATAATTAAGGGCGGTAAATGTCGCACAAGGTCTTCAGAATGAAGTAGAACAAGTTTGACTGAAGACATGTCATATAATAAAATTTATTTTTATTAATAAAAATTAAACTTGTCCTATGGTGAGTTTGTGCTTCTGGGGGTCTTAATATTTTCGCCAAGGACTTTCATACCCATTAGGGTTATTCCACCCCAGACCATGAGCTCGTTTTTTTGTCACAGTGTTATATACATATAAACATTGACAATTACAAGAGGTTTTGAAACAAAATTACTTATAGCCATCCACATTCTACAACTAAGTACATAAAAATTTGGTATGTGGGTAAGTCACATTTCATTTCAGAATTCATTTTTTTCTTTAGAAAAACGTTCTTAGTTCTTGAAGACCGATTTTTTCTATAGAAAACAACATTCTTAGTTCTTGAAGACCGATTTTTTTCTAAAGAAAATAAATCCTCAGTTATTTAGGACTGCCTTTTTTCTATAGAACAATTTTTTTTCTATAGAAAAATATTCCTCAGTCCCTGTTGACCATTTTTTTTCTATAAAAAAAAATCATCAGTTATCGAAACAGATTTTTTTCTATAGAATAAAATCTTCATTCATTTGATTTTTTTTCTATAGAACCAAATGTTCCAGTCACCTCAATCACACAGGACTAATTTTTCTCTATGAAAAACATTCTTAGTCTTCAGTTATAAATACCGGTTTTATTAGAGTGCATATCTAATACATTTTATGGGCTTGGGAATTCCACGCCATACCGTAATTCGGATTACGTAAATATTGCGGATTATTGAAGTCTGAATTTTTATTTGTACCATACCATCTGTGATCTGGCTGTTTCAATGATGATCTATCGACATTTAGCCATTCAAATGGACCTAGGCTTAGGATACACTTTACATTGACGTATGTGAGATCATACTAAATATTTTAATTTATTTGGGGGTTATTATTTTTCAAAAAAACGTTTCTGGTTGATACCACAGCTTTGGCAAACCCAATATAGCTATGCTTTGCTTTTCCTTTTTTATTTTCCGATTGTGGAATTTCCACGTCACTGGTATAAACACTTTAGATATTCATGTTTACATTTCTGTTTTCCTGGAATGGTCAACGTTGCATTGCAAATGTTTGCGTTAAGGATATCATCTCGGCATGTTTGCCATTTATAGGTAGTAAAGAAAATATTTGAGTGTATGTGTGTGTGTTTGTGCTGAAGGGTTATATACATTAGGGTGTTACGGGGAAAATAATTCATATTACTTCAGAGATTTTTCTTCATACTCGGATATTCAATCAAAGAATATACACATTTAATTAATTATAAATCTTTTAACCAATGAGATACGAGAATATCGAAGAAAAGATTTCTTAACCCTTTGTGGCCCAATGTTGTCCACAGGCAACAAAATGTTCTAGAGCTTTTATTTAATATGCAGCTGGTAGATATATATTATTTGGATTTCATATGTCAAGACCTGATTATGGATGATACGTATCAAAAGAGAAATCAAAAAAAAAAAATCAAAATTGGGGTAAAGTTATGAGCTTTTCAATATAAAGAAGTGGGTAAATTTGTGTACAGTACTAATTTGTGTATACAGTCAAAATTATTTAAATCGCTTCGTATGCAAATTGTATGAATTCTGCCATCAGAATTATTTTTGATTCTTGTAAAAATTAATATAGAGAATAATTTAAAATGATTTTTCTGTCGATTTTGAATTTGGTTTTCTTGATATTGGACTTTAATTTTTCCGAAAGAATGTACTGTATCTCCCGAATCGATGTGGCAATATATGTCTATACTTTATTTTTTATATTTTTTTCTGTCAGGTGGTCTATTTTACATAAAATCTATAGTTCCTAGAAATATTTTTATATTTGAGTATCTCAAATTTTGTACTGACTTTAACGTTTTCAGACTAAAGAAATTTCTAAAATATATTTAAAAAAAAAGTTTTTGAAAACAACTTTATTTTTAACAAACTCCCTAATACCCACCCGTTTGCATTTTTCCCCATCTACATATACATGTAAGGCAATTTCCCTTTTGAGTTTTTTTCTTGTTGTTGTTGTTGATTTTTCATTGAGTTCTGGTTAGGTTTTGTAGACTGATTTTCGGTAGTCTCACTGCTGAGAATTGCATCCATTACCGCTTTACAGGATTTTTTTTGTTTTTCGCCTACTTCATATGGCAAAATGGTAGAGTTTAGTTTTGGAAAGTGCCTACAAGCTAAAAATGCTGATGATGCTGTTGCTCAAACAACAAGAAGAGGAAAAACAACAAATCCAACAAAAACTAGCAGACATGGTAGGTCGAGCCGGCTTAGGCATATTAGTCATAACAAGATGTACAATTTGTTCAGAGTGTAGAACACAAAAAAAAAATAGTTTTGAAGTTCTTGTTGGTTACATGTTGCTCATTTTTTGTTGGTTTTCAAGTTTCCTAATATAACTCACTGATTTTGTGGTATAGTCTTTTTCTCTTGAGAAAAAGTTGATCAGTTTGGGAAACTGCGTTATTTTTTGTTGTATTTTAATTTGAATTAAATTTGAAATTTGTATTTTTTCTATTTTTATGAATACTTACAGTCCACACTAACTTTGATGCGCTTCGAAACCGTGGGTGGCACTCCATTTGAGGCTATGCACAAATAGGCGCCCATATCCAAGCGAGAGATACGTGTCAATTCCAATGTATCACCTTCCCATTCGCTGACTGAAAGGAAAATAAAACAAAAACAATTAAATTAATATTATGACTGATTTTTCTATAGGAAAAACAAGAAGGAATTAACCGTTTATTAGAAGCTATGGCATAATTTTGAAATATACATCAGTGGATAGATTTTTTCTGTAGAAAAGAATCTTCAGCCGTTGAAAAATGTTAAATCTATAGAAAATTCCCATGTCGCTGAGGACGTATTTTCTCTGGGAGAAAAATATCTTCTTTCCAATACCTTAGCGTTTTTCGATACCAATGAGAACTACTTTTTTTGTATCTGATATCTTTTTCCATAGAGATCAATCGAGGACAGTTTTTCTATAAAGCAAATTCCCCGGCCACTGAAGGCTGATTTTTTCTATAAAAATTTCTCAGTCAAAGAGTACTGATTCCTTTTATGGAAAAAATTACTCAGTCACTTAGGACTTTTTTATAGAAACAATTCTTCTGTCAATAAAGACCGATTTATTCTATAGAAAAAATCACTAAGGGTTGTTTTTTTTGTTTTGGAAAAAAAACCTTAGGATTGTCACTGAGAACTTATTTTTCTATAGGAAATAAAAAGCCTTAGATCTGAAGAAGGACTGAGGACTGATGTTTTTCTATAGAAAAAAATCCTCAGTCAATTAAGACTATTTTTTCTATACAAAAAATGAAAAATATTTTTTTCTATAAAATTTATCAATCTCTGAGATGTGATTTATTCAATAGGAAAAAACCTTACTGACCGAGGACAGTTATTTTTCTAAAGAATAGAAAAAAATCCTCAGTCACTAACGACAATTTTATGTATAGAAAAAATTCTGTTTTTCTCTTTTTCTATATAAAAAATCCTGTCATTGAGGACTAATTTTTTATAGAAATTCCTCAGTCACCAAGGACTGATTTTTTATAGAAAAAAAAACAGTCCTCAGTCATTAGGGACTAATTTTTATAAAAAAAAATCCTCAGTCATTGAGGACTGATTTTTTTACAAAAAAAAAAAAAAAAATCCTCCTGATTTGTTTTTACAAAAAAAAATCCTCAGTCATTGAGAACTGTTTTTTTTTCTATAGAAAAAAATTCCTTACACTAAAGACTGATATTTTTTTATAGAAAAAATCCTTAGTCACTGGGGACTGGTTTTTCTAAAGAAAAAAAATACTCAGTCATAGAGTTCTGATTTACTTGTGGAAAAAATTCTGACACAACGTTCTGATATTTTTCTATGAAAAAATGCACAATCACTGAGGAACGATTTTTTCTATAGAAAAATTCCTCAATAACTCATTTTTTCTATAGAAAAAATCCTCAATATCTGAGGGCTGATTTTTTTCTATAGAAAAGTAGTCTTCATTCACGGAAGACTGATTTTTTCTATAGCAAAAAATCCTCAGCCACTGTGGACTGATTTTTTTCTATGGAAAAAATTTCTTATTACTGAAGACTCTTTTTTTCTATAGAATTTTTTTTTATTCTAAAAAAATTAAAATGCTACTTACCTATATGATTTTTACTAATTGTTATCCGGGAATTATCATCCCTTTTCCATTTGATAACCGGTTTGGGGCTACCAGTGGCTTTACATCTCAGTGATATGTTCGAATTTTCTCTCACTATGACGTCACTTGAACTCAAAGAATCGTCAATATTGGGCGGCACTGGAAGATAGAAAAGAATAAAACAAATAAAAAAGAAAATGAGAATTAAATTATCAACACAGACAGATGTTTGCAGAGACACTCAAAAAACAGACCGAAAAAAAAGAGTTTCTGTCCTCAGCCTTAATTTTTCCAAAAGCAAAAAAGGAAATAGTATCATTAGCCCACTTAATAAAGATAAACTCTTCAGTGGGCTATAATACATGAAAATCCCAGGTCAATGAGTGTCATATAATGATGCTTGCTTTGGCTTTAGCTTGGCACTTCAACTCTCCTAGACTCCAAGCCTCCTAGCTGGCTGTGAGTCTAGCTGTTTGCTTGTACAGGATGATACTGTTGCTTTAATAGAAAAATATATTTATATGTGTGATGGGGGTGTTGTTGTTGCTGTTGGCTCTTGAGATGAGTGCCTGCTGCTCGGGCTTGGCAATCACTCTACCGAGTGTTGGTAAGTAGGTAATAAAGTAGTTTTAAAATAAACTTGAGACACTGGTAGTTACCTCGGTGGCAATGTTCGGTACTCAAGTGCTTTGCCATGGGAGTAGGGGGTGAGGACCGTGGTAATTGTGCTATGATACCAAATAATTGAGGGACAGAGCATGGCTGCCTGCCACCCCCATCATAATCAACTCAAATTGCAATGTTGCCGTTGTCGTTGTGTAGAACAGTTTGTTGTTGCAAAAAGTCGTTTGGTTAGGAAACACTTGTTTATTTATTTGGCCAAGAGGCTAAATGAGTTTTTGACTTGTTATGCTGCCACTTATTCCCATCCTGATGGTGTTCTCTTTAGATGAATTCCTGTTGGTTGGTTGTTTTTGTCGTTGTTGTGTTGTCTTGGTCTTCCTAACAAACTAAATAAATAACATTGGTATCAAGTGAAGTTACCGTTAGCTGAGTGGACATACACTGTGTAAGAAGCTGTCATTCTGGATTATAAAAAGAGGGTTTTTGTAAAGGCTGGGAAGATGGTGTTGGGGATTAATTTAAAAAACACAGTGGGAGATGCAAATCTTAGAAATAGGGAGTGAATCGTATTTCCGAGTTCTCACAGAGAAAAGTATAAAAAAATTCTTATTCGATGAGACAGAATTTAGAAAAAAATCTTCGAGCTCAGAGATAGATTTTATCTAAAAAATCCTCTGTTACTGAGGAATGATTTCTTACAAAAAATCCTCAGACACTGAAGACTGATGTTTTTTATAGAAAAAAATCCTCAGACACTGAGAACGTATTTTTTCTATAGAAAAGCATTCGCAGACACTGATTTTACGGACTGATTTGTTCTATACAAAAAATCTTCAGACACTGATGACAAATGTTTTTTATATAAAAAATTCCTCAATTGACTAATTTTTTCTGTAGAAAAAAATCCTCAGAAACTGAGGTGTGATTTTTTTTATACAAAATAATTTTTTTGACACTGAGCATTATTTTTTTCTATATAAAAATAAATTCCTCAAATACTGAGGACAGATTTTTTCTATAGAAAAAAATCAGACACTGAGGACTGCTTTTTTTCAATAGAAAACGGTCCTCAGACACTAACGACTGATTCTTTATATAGAAAGCATTTCTCAGACACTGTGGAAAGATTTTTTCCTATAAAAAATTCTTCAGTCACTGAGGACAGATTTTTTCTATAGAAAAAATCCTCAAACGCTGATTACTAATTTTTGTCTATAGAAAAAAAAAATCCTCCGACACAGAGGACTGATTTTTTTTCTCTAGAAAACAGACAATGAGGACTAATTTTTTTCTATAGAAAAAAATTCCTCAGACACTGAAGACTAATTTTTTTCTATAGAAAAAAATTCCTCAGTCAAGGAAGATTGATTTTTTCCTACAGGAAAAAATTCCTCATGACTGATTTTTCTCAGACTGAGGACTGATTTTTTTCAATAGAAAAACATTTCTCAGACTAAGGACTGATTTTTTCCAATAGAAAAAAATTCTCAGATACAGTGGACCTATAGAAAAAATTCTTCAGACACTGATGACTAATTTTTTCTAAGGACTGATTATTTCTAAAGTAAAAAATTCCCCAGATATTGTTGACTGATTTTTTTCCCATAGAAAATAATCCTCATACACTTATGACAATTTTTTCTATAACAAACATTCCTCAGCCACTTAGAATTGATTTTTCTATCGAAAAAAACCTCAGCCAAGAGAATTGTTTTTTTCAAAAAAAAAAAAAAAAACAACAACGCTCTCAGTCACTGAGGACTGATTTTTTCTACAAAAAATCCTCAGTCACTGAGAACTGATTTATTTCTTTAGAAGAAATCCTCAGCCTTTCGAGAAAACATGTTTATCCTACAGAAAAATCCTAGTTTACTAAGAACATGTATTTTTCTATATAAAAAATTCGTAGCCTCCGATTTCATAATTTTTTTTTATATAGAAAAAAAATTCCTCAGTCACTGAGAACTGATTTCTTCTATATAAAAAATTTAAAATTCATTAATTTTTCTGAAACCGAGGACGGACTTTTTCCATAGAAAAAATGCAAATTTTATATCTTTGAAAACGTCATTCATTAGGTCCGATTTTTCATTCCGACATTGATTTTTCGTCTCCATCACCCAAAATGTCATCCACTGTTTCTAAGATTTCCTAAACAAACTCCCACGAATGCTGATGACTAGCCGACAGTCGCTGATGAGTATCATAATGATGATGAGTTTTGATGAAGAAGACGTTCGTTCCGACCTGACCGTTTGATGACTTGGGGACTGCTGATGAGGTTTATGTCTTATGATTTTCATTTTCTTCTGCAGCATCTTCTTCCGTCACTACTACTTCAAATTCTATGTTATATACTCTTTAAGCCATAATGTTATGTTATTATGGCTCTATTTGTTTGCTTATAATAAGACGAAGACGGGCGCTCTGTGTGACACAGACGCGTTTCTAAGGCTTACGTTTGCAACGAAGCATAACTTTTTTGTTGCTGCTGTTGTTGTTGGTGTTAGCGGAAAGTATCTTTCGTAGCGTAGATGCTGCTGATATTCATGTCTTTTCAATGGGGAGAAAAGTCAAAAACTGTGACATTCACCGTTAATTCCCAAAGCCTCTAAAGTGGTTTGATGCCGCCGATGCTGCTGCCGCTGCAATATTTCTTTCTCATCATAATTTAGTTGTTGTTGTTTTTGTTTGATTTTGACGAGCCTCGTTCCTGCTAACAAAGTGTGGCATGGAAATAATGGAAAACAAGAGCTCTTTACGTTGCTTAATATAGTATATTGCTACAATCATTTGCTTGTATATTCGTTCGTATGTATGTAGTTGTTGTATCGCATAGCCGTCTTAGACATTCTTCGGTTCGCTTGTCCATCTAAAGAAAAAAGTTATTTCATGATGACACTTTTAAAATTAAATCAACGCAACGTAGTTTTTAATTTCGCTTTCATTTTCTTCGTGGTTGCCAAAGAGAGCTGATGAAGAGTGGTGAAGGGAGGGAGGTAGGGCGATTGGTGGCAGGTTGCTTGATGGGAAGTTGTCGTCGGTGGTTAAACTTTTTTCATAAACAATTTGTCTTTCGTTTTGGTTATTTAAAAAATGCAAATCACTTTGTTTTTCCATAGTTGAACTTTCGTAGTTCGTTTTCATAATTTATAATTGGTCTGATCAAAAGCTGTTGTTGCTGGTGTGGTTGAAATGCGTTGAAATGGTAAAGATTTGTTTTTATTTTTTATAGAGGCATAAAATGAAAATCAGGATAAATTCATAATAGAATATGTGGTATGTTACCGAAAAACATACAATTTTATAGTATTCAACTATATAAATTTGGATTGAAAACTTAACAGACCATATTTTTTCTATATCTGATAGGCGTTAGGAGAAATTTTCCAGGAGAAAAATAAGTGTTTCATATTTCACGAAAGATTTCTTTAAGGAAAATAAGGTATATATTGAAGACCCTATTGTAACTCAAATTCTCTTTATAATTTCAAATCTAGAAATAATTCAGCAGATTTGTTCGCAATTCAATTTTGCTTGTCATCATGTTCTCGGGAAAACTACTCTACAGATGTCTATGATATTGAAAAAAAACATCATAGTAAGTCGTGAAGTAGAAACCGTGAAAAATATCCCACAAAATGGGAAGAGGAATCGACCCTGATGGTTCGGAAAACCTGTAAAATGGTGAAAAGAAATTTCGGACGAATCAAAAGAACAGAAACGTGGTGTGGATTTTTAAAATATATTTCTACAGTAACAATTCTGATATTTAGGCGTGGGTTTTTTAAGAATATTTCTAGAGGCGACTTTTCAAACATTTTGGACTGAATTTCCATGCCAGGATGGACCATTGAAAATTTAATTTATTAAAAAAAACATTTGTTAAAAAATCCACGTCTGGCTATGTCTTTTGAAAAAATATTAATAATTTATTTTAAAAACAAGTTTCTAAGGCGCCCTTTATGGGTGAATTTTTAAAGAATTTTAATTGGTACCAACATCCAGACATATAAGCGTGGGTTTTGAAAGAATATTTTCAGAGCCAACATTCAGACTTATAAGCGTGGATTTTTAAAGAATATTTTTGGAGTCAACATCCAGACCTATAGGCGTGGATTTTTAAAGAATATTTTTGTGTCCAACATTCAGACCTACAGGCTTGGATTTTTAAAGAATATTTTTGGAGCAAACATTTAGACCTACAGACGTGGATTTTTAAAGAATATTTTTGGAGTCAACATCCAGACCTATAGGCGTTAATTGTTAAAGAATATTTTTGGAGCAAACATTCAGACCTGTAGGCGTAGATTTTTAAAGAATATTTTTGGGCGTAGATTTTTAAAGAATATTTTTTGGGCGTAGATTTTTAAAGAATATTTTTGGGCGTAGATTTTTAAAGAATATTTTTGGGCGTAGATTTTTAAAGAATATTTTTGGGCGTAGATTTTTAAAGAATATTTTTGGGCGTAGATTTTTAAAGAATATTTTTGGGCGTAGATTTTTAAAGAATATTTTTGGGCGTAGATTTTTAAAGAATATTTTTGGGCGTAGATTTTTAAAGAATATTTTTGGGCGTAGATTTTTAAAGATTTTTAAAGAATATTTTTGGAGTCAACATCCAGACTTGCAGGCGTAGATTTTTGAAGAATATTTTTGGAGTCAACATCCAGACCTGTAGGCGTATATTTTTAAAGAATATTTTTGGGCGTAGATTTTTAAAGAATATTTTTGGATTAGATTTTTAAAGAATATTTTTGAAGTCAACATCCATACCTATAGGCGTGGATTTTTAAAGAATATTTTTGAAGTCAACATCCATACCTATAGGCGTGGATTTTTAAAGAATATTTTTTTTCGACGACAACAAGACCTATAGGCGTGGATTTTTAAAGAATATTTTTGAAGTCAACATCCATACCTATAGGCGTGGATTTTTAAAGAATATTTTTGAAGTCAACATCCATACCTATAGGCGTGGATTTTTAAAGAATATTTTTGAAGTCAACATCCATACCTATAGGCGTGGATTTTTAAAGAATATTTTTGAAGTCAACATCCATACCTATAGGCGTGGATTTTTAAAGAATATTTTTGGATTTTTAAGAATATTTTTGTGTCCAACATCCAGACCTATAAAGTTGGATTTTTAAAGAATATTTAGGAGCTAACATACAGGCCTAAAAAAAAAAAATTATTTGAAAAAAATTGTAACTATTTGGACCGAGTTTTTAAGAAAGTGCAGATTTTTAAAAAGCCGAATTTATTTGGAGCCAGATTTTTGAAGAATATTTTTAGAGATGCCACTTATCATCTATTGGACCATGTTTATACACAGTTTTCGGATCATTATTTGTTACAAAATATAATTGATTTCATTGATTGATTTCAATATCATTGAATATCTGGGTGTAAAAACAAGTTCTCTGTACAAAAAAAAAAAAAAAAAAAAAACAGTGATGATTTGTGTACATTCCACACTATGAAAGAGTAAAAAACAAAACAATAAACTGGCAAAGCTATGGCCAAAGCTGCGGTTACACTTATTGCCTTTAAATTTTAATCCAGCGATATATAAAATGAAGGTAAAGGAAAAGATCTAAACCGATTTCCAAATCTGTACCCAGTTTAATCGGTTCACCAAAATAATTCTACAATTTAATTACAATCATTTTTAATGCCCTTTTAAAAATGGTTTTAATACTAAATAAATGAAACGCGATTGCCAATAAATAACCACTTCAAGGTTATTATTTAAACAAAATAATTAAATTTAAAATTTATATGACTTCCTCCGTGCCTTACACAAATAACACTTCTCCATATTTGTGCTGAAAATATATGTATATGATTTTTTAACGCATGCCACTGAAGCCTTCGGGCTATACGCCAGGACATGCATACAAAAAACTGTGATTATTTTCTCTTTCACGTTCATTCAATTGAACTGAGATATTTGCTTTCCCCAAAGTCAGCAGCTGCTGCTGCTTGGAGACTTGGCGACTTTCAGTTGTGGTGTTTTTTTTTTTATTTTTGCACAGGACATACATACTTGATTGTAGATCAAAAGTAAAATAACTTGGAAATCATTGAAGCATAAATTTTCCGACTTAATGTTAGATTGGCTGCAAGGAATGCGATGCAAGGACAAGGCTACAAACACACAAATAAAGTAACTTGGTCTGGTAAGTTAACTGCGGAATGTCTGATGGCATAGATTTATTTTTAATTTATTTATGATACAATTTTTAAAGGAATTCCCAAAGTTAATTTTGTGGCGTTCTGAGTTTAATTTTGAGATGACCCCCTCCATTAAAGAGAAGTGCCCTTCTTTAGCCTTTTTATTCCCTTAAGCGCCTAAATACTGAAATGACTCTACTTACCAACTACATTGAGATAACCAAATTGCGTTTTGGCCGTCACTGTGTTGATCTGACACATATAGCGGCCTTTGTCCTCCTCCTGGACATTGTTGATGTGTAAATACCAGCTGCGATGGCGATCATGTTTGTCGTGTGTCACACTGATGCGTGGATTTCGCGTTATCACATGATTGTGTACAGTTAAGATGGCCGATTGTTCGAAATGCATCCAAGCCACCTGTTACGAGGTATTGACGACGAAGGCAACAACAGCGAAAGGAGTAGCGGTGACAGACAGCCATGAAATGAAAGAAAAACACAAACAGAAAACAAATGAATTACTGTGGGAAAAAAGTGTCCTGGCATACAAAAGGTGATAATCTGCGTGTAATGGAGTCTGAGCTCAGGCATTGTCAATGTAAGCCTAAGTAATGTGTGTGTGAGAGTGTGCTTGAGTTTGTGTAATGGCGACAAAAAGTGTTGAAAAATGAGGTTAAGTCTACATGGACATCATTATGCTTATCCTTTGAATGTTTTAAAGCGTTTGGATGCTGTTGGTGTTGTCTTTTTTTCTGCTGTGTTTCTGTTACATTGTCTGAGAACAGCCAATTACATTATGTAAATATTCATGTTAATGTGGGATGAAAAAATGTGGATGATGAGAGGGTGTGTACGGGTGATTAATGTGATGACTGGGTTGTGCGGGTGGACGCACACACTCGGCTACACTTAAGACATTAAAAATAAATGTTGAATTAAATTTTCTTGATTATGTCAATGTGTCGACGATGTCGTCGCCGTATTACTACCGGACAACTGTTTAAATATAATTAAGAGTTCATCGGCATTTATCTTATTGACAGCTTTAATGATAATTGAGGTAAACAATCGATAAAAAAACCGGATCTGATAAGACTTTTTAATACGTCATCTGTTGGTGATTTTTTTAATTTTAAATGTTGACTTTTTTGTGACAGTGAGTGAAATACAAATTTCATTCGATGAAGTAATAAAGTCAAATGTTGTGAGTGCTGTTGACAAAAACAAAAAACATATTTTTGTCTTTTTTGAACTTGCGCGAAAGGACAATTGGAGGATTTATCGGACCGCCTCATATTTTAAAGTATTCAACCGAAGTGGCTGTAATATAGAATTTCTAGTTCACAAGGGACAAAATACCTCATTGATAAAAGTTGTCAATATAAGGTAATGTTTTTACATGCAAGTAAGGTGTAAATAGGCTATATAAAAGTGTATTGGGGTATTTCGCAATTTACAAACTAGTTGACTGTAATTTTGTGGAGGGAGTAGAAAGTTCGGCCACCATTTAGACATAATTTATATCCTACACAAATATGTTATGTTTAGAGGACATTATAAAGGATAGTTAGGTCCACGAATTTGTATCACCCCGCAATCATGAAATTTTGCTTTTGCTAGAGATACTAGAAAAGAACCTGAATTTTTGGATTGAAAAATCATTATGAGGGTCTTCAAAATGTACCCAAATCCAATGTGAACAAGCTACAAGGCAAACAATGCATTTTTTATGGACAAAAAACCTGGAATCGTTTTATGAGACCAGGATTATATATAGTAGCCATCGTTTGTACGCAATGCACATGTGAAGTGTCTCAGAATACGGTGCAAGAATTGCAGCCGAATGATGCAGAATTTGGTGAAAGGGCTCTTGGAAAGATGGCCGAAGATTCACTGATTTCGAAACATGGTGTTTCGCGACGAAGCTTTTTTTTTGGCTTAATGGGTAGTAAATAATCAGAATTGTAGATTTTGGAGTGAAGAATATATATATATATATATATATATAAATATTCCTCCAAACCATCTTCACTCCAAATATATATATATATATATATATATATAGAGAGGAATAAATCTCCATCCCATATCATATAAAGTGCTATCCAGCGTGTGTGAATATGTTGAATATCGATGTCGAAAGACCCATGAACCGTGTTGTTCCATCTATTGTCGGTCATCGACATAATCGGACGTATCGAGCTTCAGCGACTACGTTGACTAGGTCATGTTGTGAGAATGGATGTGTGTGCCCCTAGCACAAGAGGCAAATAAACGCGAGCCAACTGATAGCTTACGCAGAAGGGGAAGACCACGAATTCGATGGAAAGATTAAATGGAAGAAAATATTTGGGAACATGGTCATTCAAATTGGAGGAGCTGCTCACAAGACCGACGTGCTTGTAAATATTTTTTTAAGATCTGTTTTTGGAATAAATGTTCTGTCTCAAGCCAACTGAGTAAGTAAGTAAGAAAAGGTTGCAGTTTGGTCTGGTGACATCATTGGACCGTACATCTTAAAAGATGCTGCTAATCGTAACGTAACTGTGAATGGTGATCGATACCGTGGAATATGCAAGAGGTTGGCTGAGGGTATACAGCTGTCGGCAACACCGACAGACACATATTTTCTTTTTCTTTCCTATACCCTAAAAAATATTTCTTTAGAACACCCAAAGACACTAGGGTAAATTATATTTCGAAAATACGCATTTTTGTTGTGTATATCTAACCTTTGGAATAGATTTTCTGTATAGTTCCGCCATTTTTAGAAATTAAATATTTGGGTTGCATGTCCTATCTAAAATACTGGAATTTGGTATCTTAGCTAATTTATAAACAGAACGTTTATTGGCCCAGTTCTACATATTCCGTTTCGATATTCTGGATAAAATAAAAATACCAAATATAGGTTCATAGATCTAATATCTGTTGGAGTTCATAATTAGGTCTTCTATAGGCAGAAGATATTCAACATAGAGCACATTTCAAAAGATGTTGCGAACATTTGCAGTTTGCTCTTTAAATATTATTACTGTGATCAGTGAGTGATTTTTGATATTATGATGCTCCATTTGTGGACTTCGAGGGCCAGCTGTAAGCCTTCTTTTAAGAAAAGAACTCCAGCAGATATACTTCTAACAATATATTTCGTACTGACATTATTCAGCCAAAGATCGCCATTAAGTATTTTATTTAGAAGCCGCTCACATTATTGCGGATATATTACTTGTACACATTTTTCTTAGGGACATATAATTAGTTGTCATGTTCTTTAAAACGCTTTAAAATTTTTAATTCACCAATGAAATACCATTAAATTTCATGTCATTGATTATTAAGCCAATAAGGAATAAAATATAAAAAAAGTTTATTTCTACAACTTCACATCACCGCTACAAACACACGTTTAGATGTACAACATTCCCTAAAATTACATATATATTTAGAAGTCAACATAAATAGACTTAAGTAGATTTTACAAATAACAAACTATAGTTTGTTTCCAAAAAGAAAAACTAACATAGACTTACAAACACACACACACAAACATACATTGAAACAATTTACTTAAGAGTAACACACAAACGAAGTACTTCAAAAACTTCCTACATCCAACCTAAAAAAACTTCCAAAGAAATGTGCAAAAATTATTAAATATTTAAAGTGAAAAGAGTACTGCAGTAGTATTTTTGTTACATAAAAAACGAAAGAGAAGAAGAAAAAACTATTCAAATATTGTGATTTAATTTTGTGTCATATCCAACACCGAAAGAGTCAGCAAAAAATAGCTCAAACTAGAAGTAGAACATTTTCACAGACATTATCACTTTGATAATGACCGTCTATATAATTTTATGTGAATGAAGAGCAAAAGAGAGAGAGAGAGAGAGTCAGGCGAGACGATGTCTTACGTTTCTCATGTAAAACGTGTCATCATGCATACAACAAATCGTTATGCATAGCAATGA